GGGAGGCGGTGAGGGGGATAAGGAGGCCCCGGCGGCCGGTGCCCCCAGCCACTGCCACTGCGCCGGCCGCCTGAGAGCTGGGTGCCGCCGCCGTCGCCGCGCCCTGCACGCAGCTCCTCGCTCACTCGGTCGCTCTTCGCTCGCTTCCCTCTTCGCTCGCTTCCCTCGCCCAGGGGGAAAGGTCAGCAGCATCTTGGAGTCACCGTGTCACCCCCCGACAGCTATGAACTGCAGCGAGGGCCGTCGGCTGCGCAACCTCCTGAGCCGCCTGCTGCTCGAGCTGCACTACAGGGGCAACGCCAGCGGGCTGGGCGCGGGCCCGGGCCCGACCATGGGCATGGGGGTCGTGCCTGACCCCTTCGTGGGCCGCGAGGTGACCAACGCCAAGGGCGACGACGCCTATCTCTACATTCTGCTCATCATGATCTTTTACGCCTGCCTGGCCGGAGGCCTCATCCTGGCCTACACCCGCTCCCGCAAGCTCGGCAAGGCAAAGGACGAGCCGGCCCAGGCCTGCTCTGAGCACGAGTGGGCCCCGGGAGGCGTCCCAGCCACCGCCGACGCCGAGACTGCCGCCGGCTCCACGGCCGAGGGCCGCCGCCTGCTCACCACCGGAGGGCCACCCGCCCTCCCTCAGGGCACCGAGGGGGTCTAGAGCCACAGCCCCAGCTGGTTCCCTCGCGCCCTTCTCATCTCGCTGATCCCTGGGCGCGACTTCCGCCCTTTCCTCCCCTTCCAGTGTTCTTCTCACCTGAGGCCCAGGCAGTGACGAGAGGCCAGGAGACCTAGCCTGGAAGGCTCTGGAAGAAGAAACACAACCCTACCCATTCCTGGCCATTTTTCTCCCTTCTCCCCCCTTCCTCCATCCTCTCCCGCACATCCAACTGCCCTGAACGGCCTCTGCTCTCTTCAGACAACCCTGACACCACTCTCCAGCCCCCGGGAAACTAAATCCAACACATCCAACACTTGGCATTGACTGAAGCACTGAAGTCTATCAGAACTATGGGCCGGCCGTCTAATTGGCAGCTGCTCCAGGGACTGCTCACTGCAGACCCTCCAGGCTTGCCATCACTGCCAGGCCAGCAGCCGCTTCTCCAGCTTCCTGTTGCCTTAGGGACAGAGACAAAGAAAATGAAGAGACCTCACAGATCTTTTTCCCTCTCTCTCTCTCCCTCTTTCAGCGGGGAGCTAGCCGGACATTAGGACCAATCTGTGGCATAGGATGGACTTAAAAGGGACTGAGGGGAGGGAGATTCCACAGAGAGGGGAAGACCTATGACCCCCAACTGTATGGTTTTCTTGCACCCTCAGTTGTCACCCCAAAGGTAACTTGCCTGATTTTTAGTAGCTCTGCCATCTTCTGCTGTGGGTAGCCATTACTGGGTGTATCACCCCAATACCTCCAAATGCCCCTTCTGTATTGATTCAGTTGTTATCACAGCTGTCTGTTCATTGATGGAATGTGAGACTCAGATGTCCCTGCTCTGTAACCCTGGAAACTGTTAGAGGCAGGTAATAAAGGCTGATTAAACAATAACCCTAACACTCTTCTCTGAAGGATCTTGGCCTTGAGACCAAATAACACACAGAGAAGGAATCCTGTTTGCTTTTGGAAATGATGTTTGGATTTTGGGATAAGGTTGTTGTGATGTCCATATACCTATGTATTGAGTTCCAATTCAATAGTTAAAATTGTGGGGGAAGAAAAGATTAATATGGCTAAATGGGTTATTTTTTCAGCTGTTTCAAGAAGTATGCTAGCATTATTACTTTTCACTCCTTTTCCCTTAATTCTGGAGCACTTTCAAATATCATAATGGAATAAAGATTTCCCGTTTTCCTTTTGTAGTTTTTCAGGATGCATAAAAAAAAAAAAAAAAAACCTCATACCAACCATTATTAACTATTATCAAAGGTAATTTTTAGAAGTCATCTTAATAACTCAAAGTGACTTCTTAAAAGAGAAGGGAAACCACCCCTCCAAAAAAAAAAAAAACCCACTACCATCAAGTTGATTCTGACTCATTGAAAGCCACTAAATAGTGTAAATCTTAAGCCAGAGGAAGAATGCTTGTACTAGGCAACCTTAACTATTGAAAGGTAAATTAGAGGTATGCATTTATTGATTTATTCTCCTTAACAAGAAGGTTGTCAGAAACGGCTGAAATGACAATGATTGTGCTTCATCAAACACACATGAAAGTACCTTTTAGCATTAAAGTCAGGTTGCTTAAATACAGCTGACTTCATAGTAATAGCAGGACAAAGATATTATGGGTCACGTAAATGCATGGATAAAACACAAACCTCATTCAAGGCATTAATATGACCTTCTAGCCGATCTCTGGTAGTGTAGTGCCTAAGGCACTTGACTGCTAACCAGAAGGCTGGTGGTTCAAACCCACCAGCCACTCCTCAGAAGGGAGGTTGCGCAATCTACTTCCCTAGTGTTACTGCCTCCAAAACCCAAGGAGGGGTCGCTATGAGTCGGGGCCTTGAAGATGTAGTAGTCTTGCCCCTCAGGCTCCTCTTCAGTCCTAGCTCTAGCCCTAAGGTAGCCCCCTCTCCTTGCAGGTAGGAACCAGTGATTGGGCAGCAGTCCAAGATAATAAAGGAAGAAGAGAGGGGATGTGTGAGCCACTCTGGCCACGCAGGGAGGTCCGAGGGGATTGTGGAGGGAGGACCCAGACATGCAGCCATTCTAGGGGCATGTGGGAAGTTAGTCCTCAGCCCTGTATTTCAAGAACAGTAATACCCCTCGTTTATATGGCATAGCTAGGAACACAGGGTTGTTTTGATAACTGAAGTATAATCACTGCTTTAGGTGTTACAGCTTTGTAAATACACCATTTTTGTTATCAATATCTTTTAAAACTATATTATTCCCCTCCCCCAAAAAACTAGCTGGGAGCATTTGGGACAATGTTCATAATAAACATTAATGTGGCAGCTATGGAGAAAAATTCGTACTTTGAAATACAGTTTACCCTTTTTATGATGACTTAGGGTACCCATTAAGAACATTTAGTGACAGCAGCTACGGAAAGCTCCTGGGGGGAGAAGTGAACTGACCTCGGTGAGCTATTTGCTTTACTGCTCTGTTGTTTTCTTTCAAACATTTTCAGGATTGCAACTGTGTCAGAGATTAGGAAATTTCTCAGAAGTCTCGGACACTTCAGTATTAGCTATTGGGGATGTCAACTGCATTGAAGTGACCAAAGTGTGATCAGTTAAAGAAACAAACAAACAAAACCAAACTCACTGCCATGGAGTCAAATCCGACTCATAGCAACCCCTTCTTGGGTTTCCAAGGTGGTATGTCTACAGAAGTAGATTGCCCAGTCTTCCTTCCAAAGACTGGCTGATGGGTTTGAACTGCTAGCCTTCTGGTTAGCAGTCAAATGCCTTAGGCACTATGCCACTAAAGCTTGGCAACCCCTAGTTTTGATGATGAGCCCCTGAAGAGCATGATTTGACTGTACAAATTGGGAAAATGTTAGTCTGGTCCTTAATGTGATTTCAGAGATTTTAAACATTCTGACAAATTTATGATTGTGTTTTCAACCCCACCCAGCAGTCTGTCCTCCCCATCCCCTGCCGTGTAAGCAGATCCTGTTTCAGTTCAGGTTCAGCTCTTTGCTCCATAATTAACAATGAAGCCGAAGACCCACACTTTCTTATTTGTAACTTGAGGCTTTCAACAGAGTGGGACTAGGGGATGTTTTGAGTTCCAATGTCTGGAAGTGCTTACTGACAGTACAAAAATAAACGGAAGGTTTTCTTCCACTGCAGACATAATGCTGTGTTGTTGCTTTTACTTTTCCAGGGGGATCGAGGTGGAGTTTTTCAGTTGTTTGTAGTTACCATCTTCTCTTCAATTTGCAATTGCTCTTAAACTCCAAATTTGCACATGATTTATATCAACAAAGAGAAAGAGGACTGGGCTGCTTTCCAAACAGTCTTGCCTGACAACTAAAGCAAACGCACCGTGGTGTCGTGGAGTGTGCACAGGACCAGAAATCAGGAGAACTGGAGTCAGCCCTGGCTTTGCCAGTCAATGGGCTTCATTTCTCAGGGTGAGATGTTTAACCCCTCTGGGTCGCAGTCTTCACAGCTGTGGGGGATTTGAGGCTCAAGTGAGATGATGTAGGGGAAAGGTATTAGGCTTATATTTTCCTTTTCCTTCCTTGAGGGAGGGCTCTTGGGAAGATATGGAGGAGTGGGAGGAGGGAGAAGGAGGAAGGAGAAAAACTCTCGCGTCTACCCTTATTGTTCAAAGAAGAGGATTACAGGCACTTGGCTGCTGGATCCCTGGTTTCTGAGCCCATCTCCCCTATTCTCAGAATCTTGGATGACTGCATGAACACCTCACTATCCTACTCTATTTCTTTTTACCCACAGGCCCACAGTGCCTTTTAAGTCAGGCAAGCAGCTAAATAACTTTGTATTTAAGATGTATGGGGCTTAATCATGCTTGAAGATGACTCTTATTCCAAAGGAATTCACATTTTACAATAGATTTTTGACAATGTAAACATGAAACTCAAGGGGAGAGTTTGCAAATTGTGGATTTCGGTGGCATCTGGAAGGACAGAGATTTTGAAATGTTTATGTGTGTGTTTAGGAGAGTGTGAGGGTAGAGGCATACTTCCTACCACTTCTCAAGTCACATTGGACTC